CACAGGGAATAACAAGGATTATTTCAATCACTAGGTTCCTAGAACCTTGCTAGGATCCAGTAACTCTACCAGGGCACTTCTGGTGTTTTACTGGAGCCCCTCTCTGATACGTTCTGCCCTACTATTCCAAAACAACACCACAGGGCCACCCACCCTCAGAACGTCCGTCTTGAATTTATATGATATCCAGTTTCTCATGTTTTCAATCTTATGTTCATGCCATTCTTTTCTTCTCACTTTGCATTTCTACAAGTTAGCAGTATCTGTAGCTGGCTGGATAGCTCAATGGTTTAGGTATCTGGCTACGGAGCCAGAGGTTGGGAGTTCAATTCCCCACTATGCCTCCTATGAGTAAAGCCAGCCTGTGCAGCCTTGGGCAAGCTGCACAGTCCAGGGCACACACACACCCCCAGAAGAAGGGAATGGTAAGCCACTTCTGAATATTTTCTGCCTAGAAAACCTTGAAAAGAATTGACTTGACTGCATATGGTTGTTGTTGTTACTATCAGTATCAGTATTAAAATGAAAATTTGTACGCATTGTTGTGTCCAGTTATCTTAATACCTGCATTTTAAAGCAATTTTGCCTTCTTCCAGTATAAAGCAATTTTGTGTATCTTCCTCACAAACGTCAGTGTAGTACAATGGATACGATGTTGAACTAGGGCTCCAGAGACTCACGCACAAACCCTTTCTCAGCTATGGAAACTCACTGGTGGGTGACAGTGGTGAACTACACCTTGAATATCTCACATACCTCAGAAACTCTTATGGTTGCACATTTAAAGTGACATGATGGCACATTACAAACATCTCTTTATGAACATTTCCACAAAACATGCATGAACCAAAATCATACTGGTGTTCCTATTGCATAACACATCTTGGCTAATTGCAGCTAACTGACAAGGCACCAGAACACATCTTGGTCATGTGCTTCATCGGGCGCTCCTAAATACACAAATGAGATGCACCTTGGCATCTTGTCAGTTAGCCAAATTACTCCTGCCAAATTATGCAGACCTTACATAAACACGAATGGGATTCTAGCCATTTTGGACACAATTTTGTATTTAATTGCATCACACTCCATCTTGCTCCACCCCATACTGACCCATTTCCAGAGAATCCTATGATCCAAAAGAGAGGCTTTCTGCAGGAGTCAAAGAATTACAATGGGGTATAAGAACTGGGAATTCCCCTCTCATGAACACCCTTGCACGACACAGGATGCAACGCTAGACTTACAGACTGGATTTTTGTTATATTTCATTTATACTTTGATTGTATTTTAATTGTTTTATTTTTAATTGTATTTTAATTGTTGTAAGCCGCCCAGAGATCTTTGGGTAGAGTGGGCAGCATATAAATTATAAGCTGCCCCCAGACTATGGAATGTCTGGCAAACATTTTGGCACCAGGTCAAAACCTTCCTGTTCCTGAAGGCTTTTAATTGAAATAATATCAACTGTGGGTCCTGATGGCAATTTTTAAAGTACCTATTTCAGTTGTATTTTGTTTTATCTTTTTATTATATTTTAATTGTATTTTAATTGTTGTAAGCTGCCCAGAGACCTTTGGGTAGAGTGGGCGGCATATAAGATAAACAAACAAACAAACAAACAAACAAACAAACAAACAAATAAATAAATAAATAAATAAATAAATAAATAAATAAATAAATAAATAAATAAATATTTTCTAAATCTCATTAGTGTGCTATTCGGAGCTACTAACGTAGGTGGGCAGATTAATTTTTTGTACTTGCAATTTTGCAACAATTTGTGTTTGTGTTTTTAAAGAATGTAAGAAGAACAGAGAGCTCAAGCAAACAAAGAACCTGAGCCCAGTCAGATTTGCCAGGAATTGAGTAAATCCATTTTCCACAATGTTGCCTTGAAACAATAATTCACATTTTGACATTTTAAAATCTTTACTTTCCTCCTTCCATTTACAGTCATTGTCCTAGGAAATATTAATATTCAGCTTGGGCTGTGTACTACATGTGATCTTTGCTGATGCTTAATAGAAACCTATGACATGTTATTGAGGTCCCACACTGACCTTTTTATTATGCTGCATTTCCTCAACTGTGCTTTCATTTCCCTTCTGAATATTTAAGGAAATAACAAGGACAGCCAAATGTATTTGCAGAATTCTTAAAGAGTCATACGCTAAAGCAATACAGAACTGTTCCTTTTTTTCTCCTGAGTTGATTTTTAAAATTCACCAATATCTGAGTCAGTTCTTATTCTGTTTATTAGCAGGTACTTAGAGATACTCAGCACAGCCCTAAATCATGGTTTTCTACCAGTTATCCTGAGAAGTACTTGGTTATGTTAAGAATCACAATACTGTTGGGGAAGCTATTTTCCGAATCTACCTGTGAGACTTAATACAGATTACCTGGTTATGAAGAGAACAGCGAAATTTTTTTAAATAACCTCACAAACTTCTGTTTTCTTTTGCTGGAGTAATGCACCCATCATATACACTCAATCAGATTACCATTACACAGTTTACCCAAAGTGACAGGTGAGGTTCCCTCTGAAGCATGCACTGAATAAAAGTAAAGGTATCCCTCCCATATCTGCAAGTGACACATTACACAAGCTACTCCAGACGCCTGAAACTGTGAATAGTAGTGAATCCTATGTACAATATACAAGGGGTAGGGACAAAAGCTACACAGAGGTAAGGCAGAGGCCACAAGGCCTGCATCTCCTTGTATGTTGTATATACCAGAGGTCCCCAACCTTGGGCCTCCAGATGTTCTTGGACTACAACTCCCAGAAGCCTTCGCCACCACCTCTGTTGGCCTGGATTTCTGGGAGTTGAAGTCCAATAACATCTGGAGGCCCAAGGTTGGGGACCACTGGTATATACGGCTGCAGAAAACCACAGATAACTGAACCCATGGATACTGATTCCATGGATCCCTACAGTTCCTGGTGAGCCATTGCAAAGAGGCTCCACGGTTCAGACCAGAGATGGTTCGTATTTATATACAAATACAAATATCCCCCATGCAGTTGGACTTAACGAGGATCCAGCCCATGGGCCTCGCTTATCCTTCCAATCACTCAGCGCTGCTCTCTTCCTTCTTGGATAGCCACTCCGGACAGGGCGAGGGAGGACAAGTATACGAATATGTATTCCCTGATCTCTAGGTTAGACCTTTGTGTGGTTATGCACTTCGAAACAGCAGTGATGCAGAAAGGCCTCAAAGACAGGAAGCCTTTAAAAGTAACATCTTTATATGCTTTACTAGTTCCAGATCTGAAGAGGAAAATGAGCCAAAATAATGTTTTACAATAATGTTTTACAAGACTTCCTCTGAATGATATTCTTGTCTCCAAAACAATAGACTTTCCTGAGGCCGGTCAACCTTGCACGGCTGTTTTGATGGCAAAATATAAATGCCACTGCAAGGTCCTTGGCAAAACCTTACATCTCTGTACTACAGTATCTAGAAACCTCCAGCCAATACAATCTGGCCGACGGAAATGCACTCCTAAAAAGTACTCTTTCCTTGGACAAAAGATGGCAAGGTTTTTTTTTCCTTCATTAGGGATACAGCGGGAAGAGATGTTGCATCTGTGTTGAGTAACTCCCTTTTGTAATAGTTTCATTTTAGATATCTTATATAAGCATTACCTGAGATTAAAGTTCACTGCTGAATATCCAAAAATGCCATAATCCTCCCAACCCAATATCCACTGTTCCTTTTTCATCCTTTAATGCATGCTAATGATCTATTGTTCTTTAAGAAGACCCAATTTTCCAGAGAAAAATTAACTACTCTAATGAGCACAGGAGAGATAAAGATCAAAGAGATAAGGGGGGGGAAACACCTCATGCTAATGACTTTGCTTTTATATAGCACATTTCATCCTAAAATTAATAACTAGGGTACACCAGGAGTTAGTCAAGCAAGTGAAAAATGGATAAACAAGGTTTCAAAAATATGGACTGCTACAGGAAAGGTTTAACAACTCTTGTGCTTAAAATTTTGAAGATCACAACACATATTGGTCTCATTCTTCTTTATGTAGGAACATTGAGGTCCCAGTTTTGAGATGGCGGTAAAAGATCTCTAAAAGGCTGGTTCACAGTACCCAAAAAAAGGAGACAAAAGGTAAAGGTAAAGGTAAAGGTTCCCCTTGACAATTTTTGTCCAGTCGTGTCCAACTCTAGGGGGTGGCGCTCATCCCGCTCTTCAAGCCATAGAGCCAGCGTTTGTCCGCAGACAATCTTTCCGTGGTCACATGGCCAGTGTGATTTAGACACGGAACGCTGTTTGCCTGCCCACCGAGATGGTACCTATTTATCTACTCGCATTTGCATGCTTTCGAACCGCTAGGTTGGCGGGAGCTGGGACAAGCAACGGGCGCTCACTCCGTCGCGTGGATTCGATCTTACGACTGCTTGGTCTTCTGACCCTGCAGCACAGGCTTCTGCGGTTTAGCCCACAGCGCCACCACGTCCCCTCCAAAAAAAGGAGACAGCTGAATAAATATTTTGCCAACAAATAGGACCAGTTTTGTGTTACAGAACTGAACTGGTAGATCTAGATATAACTGTTCATCACCAAGGATCTATACCTTAAGAGAGGACCCTTAAGTACACAATTATAAGGTACCATCTGCTCCCTCCTTTTACACCCTGCAGCAATGGGTAGCACAGGTATTCTTCAAGCACTATCTCGTGTGTTTTTTTTTGAGAAAAATCTTTCCACCACTCTCTTCCAAAAGAGAGACGGAGCATGTATTTGGCTTTCTTGTTGATATTGTCAAGTTAATTGGCTTCTCAGAACTTTTCCTTCCTAACCCAGCACCAAAATGTCACATTGACAGACCATGGACAAACAAAACCACCTGTACCACACTCAGCTTCCCTCACGGGGTTTAATTATTTCACCCCAAACAGGCAGACCCAACACAGTGATGCTCACTAATTTGTCCGCTCAAAGTACAATTTTAGAAGTAGATATCCACTTACCGGTTTCCCTTGAGATTTGTGTGAATGCTTCAACACCACTTTCCCCATAGTTCCCTTCTGAAGCCAGCGTTGACACATAGTTCCATCCAAGAGCTGTTACGATGTCAACCATGGCTTGCGCTTGGTAGGAATCAGGCGGGACCACACGAGAGAAGAAATCATACCTGGTGTTATCGCTTAACTCTGGAGCTGTAGATGCATAGCTGATTTGAGGTATCTGAGGGGGAAAAACAGCATACAAATGAGTTTCAAATGTCTGAAGTTTAATTTACAAGCAAGATAGCAATGCAAGGAATTTTTCAGTGAAATACACCTTATCAGGCCTTTGGATGCAGAATAAATTTGTATAGTAAAAGACATGAACCAAAACAAGATATATCATACTTTTCTGTTACTTGGAGTAATAACAGGAATTCACTTTTAAACAGGTAAAAGGGGCCCACTGTTGTGGTGTTTCATACACACACAAATTACACATTTTCAAAAACAAAAGACATCCAATGACCTTCAGATTAATTTTATTCCAATTTTGTGGTGTTTTTGGAAATCTATGTGCCCCATTTCTGAGATCCTAAGGCCAGTAAATTGCCCCCCCATACCTGACAGATTTGCCCACCCTTAGTCTTTGTGGTGGGAACTGACATCCTAAGGGGAGCAAGAATATAGACCTCCATTCTCTTCATACACATACAATTGTCTACTGTGTAAACTTCACCCTCACACTCCCACAACTTAGGGATCTAGTTGTGCCTCAGAATTGTATTTTGCTACAAAACCCAGACAGATTAGACCTACTCTATGCATTCTAGAACATGGTTGCCTATCCAATTGTAAATTATGTCCCCACATTTCAGCTACTTCCCCATGCACATTTTTCTACTAAAAACATAAAATGATAGGAACATCAAGAAACAAATCTATTGGTTTTTTTTTTCTGCTGTCAGGATACATTTCTGTCCTGGCCAACATTGGAAGAAAATGAAAATTATTCAATGGGACGATACCCCACAATACCCAAGAAGATGAAGTCAAAAATGAAGACTAAGAACAAGAACAGATCCAAATTGATAGATACCTTGAACATAACGCACCAGGCATAGTAGTAATAGAATGAAGAAATGTCTGGATCATTGACATTGCAATTCTGGGGGATGCCAGAGGTGAAAATAAAGAATTGGAAAACTAACAAAATACAGAGACCTGGCAATTGAAATATCTTGCTTGTGGCTGAAACATACTCCAGTGGTCTCCGTAGTCATTGGGGCTTTTGGGATAATATCAAGAAATTTCACGCAGCATTATAAGCAGTTGCACATCTCAGAAATAACACCATCAGAGCTACCAAAAAATGGCCATATTAGGAACAGCATATATACAACACCAATATTTAACAGGTAGGTGTTTGGTTAAAGCTTGTATCTCTTCTATTATACCAGTCAATGTTTTTATGATTTTGATTGACTTTACCCAGTATTTTTTGAGTAATAGTAATAGAACTGCAATAGGGACGTGGTGGCGCTATAGGGACGTGGTGGTGCTGTGGGCTAAACCGCAGAAGCCTGTGCTGCATGGTCAGAAGACCAAGCAGTCGTAAGATCGAATCCACGCGACGGAGTGAGCGCCCGTCACGTGTCCCAGCTCCCGCCAACCTAGCGGTTCGAAAGCATGTAAATGCGAGTAGATTAATAGGGACCACCTCGGTGGGAAGGTAACAGCGTTCCATGTCTAAGTCGCACTGGCCATGTGACCACGGAAGATTGTCGTCGGATAAAACGCTGGCTCCATGGCTTGGAAACAGGGATGAGCACCGCCCCCTAGAGTCGAACACGACTGGACAAAAATTGTCAAGGGGAACCTTTACCTTTACCTTAATAGAACTGCAGAGCTGCAATGGACCGGTAGTGATCCCGTACTGTGCCCCCTTGACAGGGACTGGATTTGGATCATCAAGTCCAGTTCCGGTCAAAGAGGCACAGCAGGGGATCAGTCTTCCAACCTCTCACTCCATAGCCAGATACCTAAACCACTGAATGCAAGAAGTCTACCTTTATTTTGTTTTATCTGATTTTATTCTACTTTCAATCTACCTTGTAGGTGGTATTTTTATAGTTCACAATAGACTGAAATTCTCACCAGGGTCATAAAATACACCACTGCTAACACAGTGTACATTTTTTCATAAAAACACTGAGCTTGATTTGTGCAGCAGTCCTAAATTCAAATTCAAAAACCTTGGAAGTGATTTAAGATTCAGAAACCAGAGTTTCTTTTGTGTATCAGAGTCTTGTGGAGCTATGAATCATGTCCATGTCTACCAAAGGTAGGGATAGGGATTAAAAAAAATGGGTAGTGCAGGTTTTCTTTCCATTTGTTCACATAAGAAAATATCATTGATTTAAGGTCAGTTTATGTGCAACCATGATGCACGGATATTAAGCATATATTTCTCATGAGAACAGAAAATGTGTTAGAGAGCTATCTAATGTTAGACAGAGCAGCTGTTTTGAAGACCAAGTATGTTCCTTATTTACAGCATCGCTTCTGTGTTGTATTTCTCGCGCAGGTGGTATTATTTTTTACATCGGCATGTATTTCTAGGCATGTTCCTTTAATCAGAAAAATAATTTTCTAAACACTGCAGCCCCCTGACTTAATATAATATTTGTACTGTTTCCAAATTATCTCCACACTGACCAAGGACCTTATACTTAAAGAGAAATAGTTCCCCTCCTGTCAGTAACAATAATGCTATTAAATAAAAATTACAACCTTCAATCCAAGTTGATTATTTTATTAGTTCAGTCTGGCAGTAATAGACTTGTAAATCCTTATAAAATCTTCTAGCACTTTAATCATGCATTTAGTTACCATAGGAATAAACCCACTAACAAGCCTAAGAATGTGTAACTGAGCACCCGAATTTAAATAAAACCAAATCAGGAAATACTCACCTATATTCAACCTATATATCCTTCCAGATTGCTGGATCCTATCAAACTACCTCTGTGAACTATGCTCTCCATATTTTTTTTCTATTGAAACTTTCACCATTCCTAGCCACAGGATCATAGAATAATTGATTTGGAAAGGACCTAAAAGGCCATCAAGTCCAACCCCCTGCTCAATGCAAGAATCATTCTAAATCAAAGCAAACCTGACAGATGGTTGGCAGATAAGCCATTCATGTTGAAAATAACAGGAACTGAGGTCTAAAACTTTTTGAAACAACCAGGCTGAGGGAGATGGGTGCTGAATCTGATGGGCCAGATGTGAGGAGTGACTGGCTTCCACCACAGTGCACCCAAAGAGGTTCTGTAATTTTTAAATATATTTGTGTTTCATTGAGTAGAAAAGGAAAGCAAGACTTTTTCTCCCATTGTCTTAAAAGGAAAGTCCCAACTTAAACAGCCAGGTGTGCAATCACCCTAAATTCTCCACAGGGCCCACTAAGATGTGTAACAACAAAGGATAATAATAAGAATGGGGAAATGCTTGAGTAAGTTCCATAACTGCCACTGACATTGCTTGACTTTAATCAAGTATCTCCCTGGAGTGTCCCTTCTCTTTTCAATGCTGTTTTAGGGTCTATTTTATTGTTTCAACTGTTTATAGGGAGACATAACTATTTAGAACTGAGGGACATTAAAACTCTACATTTAAAAACACAGAATTCCCTCAAAGAACCATTTGTGTGATCCAGCCAGAATTAACGACTAAGTATTCTCCGTAGAATTTCCAGGAATTTATAGTGATAACACTGAAAGGAGGATAACTAGAACACTGAGGGCTGAAGACTGATGACATAATTTGGTTATATACTGGAGCACATTTTAGAATCTACTCTGAGGCAATGACAGCAACAAAAGTATCTTACATGACTGTAACAAATGTACTTACTTAGAGTTGGCCCGTAAAACTGTTCTGAACAGATGGGTGGTTCTTATCATTGGTCATTCAAGAGGATGGAAACCAGGAATGTTCAGTAGCTTGTCTCTGACATTTTGCATATCAAATTATATCTTTCTGCTATTATAGATTCTGCTATTATCATGAAGCTCAGCTGTGCTACTTACTATTGTTGAGGTTCACATACTTTCCATTTTGTCCCAAAAAGGCTAGCTGAGCAAAGACTTAAGATCATCCAAGGAGGAAGAGTTCTTACCCTTAAATGATCTTCGACTTAATTAAATCATCTGCAAACCATCCTTGTGTACAAAGTATGAGAGCTCTCAAACTAGCAAATGTTTCTCTTCTTGTAGTCACTATTCTAGTCAATCTACCCATGGCAAGCTGAACTGGCCAGCTCAGAATCCTGGTACAAAATATTCTTCATGCATAAAGCACCACCACTACCAATAAGCACACTAGCAGTTACTTACACTAAATAGTTAGACAGTTATGGCCAAAAATATTGGCACCCTTGCAATTTAGTCAGAAAATGCAACCCTTCTCTCAGAAAATTGTTCCAGTTGCAAATGTTTTGGTACTCACATGTTCAATTCTTTGGTTTGCATTGGAACAACACAAAAAAACAGAGAAGAAAAGTCAAATCTGATACAATCCCACAAAGAAACCCAAAAGTGCACTGGCCAAAACTAGTAGGCTAGTTGAGCTGCAGGCTTTGGACTGCTGGTCTCCCCAGGAAACACCTTCCTTTCTCCTGAGGATAGTTCCCTGCAGCCAGGCATGTCTTCTTGCAATCTTTCTCTGGACTCATATCTTCAACCTGCAGTGCTCACATGGGCTTAGTGGAGATCTGTCATCCTTTGACTCAGTGCCAGAGCTACCTTCATCTAGAGTTCAGGGTCCTACCTCCCTGATGGCCCATCATCTGGAGATTTAGCTTCCTCAACCATGGAGGCCCAGAATCTAGTGAAGCTGGCATGTTAGGTTCAAGATGCTTTAACTCACAACAATAGCCAATCAGATTCTGGCCTATGATACTAAAAGTGTTGGATGTAGGAAGTAGGGCTGAACACACATTTTTTTGATAGGCCCACTTCAATCTACACTGGTAGCCTCTAGACCAGTGGTTCCCAACCTGGAGTTCTCCAATGTTCTTGGACTAAAACTCTCAGAAACCTTCACCACTAGCTGTGCTGGCCTGGATTTCTGGGAGTTTTAGCCCAAGGACATGGAGGGGCCCAAGGCTGGGAGGCACTGCTTTAGACTAAGCAAGAGGGAAAACTCACTCTACCATTGCAGGAGGAGGAACCC